GATCCAGACCCAACTTTAAAGAAATTCTTGGAGCAGCAATTGCTCAAATCCCACAACCTCTCTCCTGGAATGAATAACTTTGAAATTATGGCCAGAAACTCTCAAAGTAGGGAAGAGAAGCCAGAAAATACTCGTAATTAGACAAGAATTGACGATAATTCTGACAATATTGACTCCGATCAGTCTTTTATTGAAAGAATACAACCTGCAACCACCACAGATAAGGAACTCATGAAAATTGTGAAAGTTTTAACAGGTAAAAGTAAGTCACGAATTAATTATCTAACACTAACAGAATGCACTTGGGACGGCAGTATTCTTTGATATTGTGATAAAATTGTCGTCCCTCAAAGCAGAATACGGCTAACTCTTACAACAGATATTATCCAATATCACCACGACCCGCCGGCTTCAGGTCATTAAGGAGCAGCAGCAACTTACTCTACAATAATACGAACATTTTTCTGGATCAGTATGCTCCAAAAGGTGAAGAAATTTGTTCGTAATTGTCATGTCTGTTCCAGGACTAAGCCATCTCGTGATTGCTATCAGGGACTTCTTCGACCTCTACCTATAGCAGAAGAAAGATGGCAACACATTGCTATGGACTTTGTTGTAGACCTTTCCAAAAGCAAAGACTGGGAAGGAAATGAATTCAACGCAATGCTTGTAATTTTTGACCAAATGACCAAACAGGTTCACATAATACCATGCAACAACTTAATTACCCGAAATATGGCATATATGCTTTGTAGGGTTTGTTTCCGTCTACACGGCTTACCTGATTCAATAGTAACAGATCGTGGATCACAATTTACAGCGGAATTATGGAAATGGCTATGTAAACTTTTAAAAATTGATCAATGTCTGTCTACTGCATTTCATCCGCAAACAGATGGGCAGACTGAGAGGATGAACTGACGTATTGAACAACACCTGAGGGCCTATGTAAACTTTACACAAAATGACTGGGTCCGATTATTGCCTTCAGCTGAATTCGCAATTAATAACCATGACTCTCAAGTAACAGGGGTATCACCATTTCTAGCGGTTTATGGATTGCACCCTCGCTCAGGCTCAGAATGTTCAATTCACCAAGTAAGAAATCCCGTCCCAGCATCCATTAAGTTTCAACAATCAGATGCAGAAGATATTGTTTCAAATGCAAAAAGAGTTAACAAATTTATTATCGAAAATTTAAACTGCCACTCTGCTGAACAAGAAGTCCGAGCCAACAAAAGTAGAACAGCTGCACGAAGTTTTAAACCTGGAGATTTTGTCTGGCTAAACTATAAAAATATAAGATCAATATGCCCGAGTCGGAAATTGGACTTCAAAAAAGGAGGCCCATTTAAAATAATTAAGCCTATTGGTAAATATGCATTTAGACTCGACATTCCCAACTCATGCAAAATCCATCCAGTATTTCATGTATCATTATTTTCCCCAGTGGTTCGTGATCCTCTCCCAGGTCAAGACTCTGGTCCAGCCCCGCCAGTTATTATTGATTCAGAAGAGCCCGAATACAAAATAAAAAAGATTATTGGATCAAATTGGATTGATGATGAATTGTTTTATTGCGTTCGATGGAAAGGATATGGTCCTGAAGATGACTGGAGTATTCCTGCTTCAAAATCTAAGAATTTCACGAAATAAATCCTGAAGAAGAAGAAGACTTTAAAAAAAAAGCCTCACAGGAGTTCGGCTCGTTTAAGAGAGGGGTAATGTCATAATTTACCCCAGACTGACATGATCCCGTGTAAATTGAGTCATAACACGAGCCGTGCTACATCATATTTTATCATTTCCGTTCACAGCAGCTTCCTAATCGAGCTAAGGCCGACTACCTTACTGATTGCAGTTGCTAGCACTTCCCTCATTATGCTGCAATAATCTCTTAGCTTAGAAGTAACGAGCTTGGTCTTGTCATGGTTAACCACAAACAATCCTTCTTGTAGTAGTATGTTCTTACATATGGATCATGTTGTTAAGGGAGTTAGGGAAGTAGGAATGGAATGGAATGGTACATGCAAATATGAGTAAGAATATTAGAGCAGAAAGATGTATTTAAGGAACTCGGGGGACATTGATGTTCAGTATCTTCTTGTCTTATTTATGTTATAGAGATACATTGAACTACATCTTGAACCACGTCTTGAACTACACCTTGAATCACTGTTATATTAACTAGGCTATATGGGAGCAGGACGATGGATACTCTTGGGGAAGTTATGCTCACAGTAGGTCTCTATAGTCGCTGTTGCGTGTGTTCTCGTGATATGTAAGACTTGACTCTATATTCTCGTATAAAGGAAACTTAGTTACAACAAATGGATGGAGGTTGAGACCTCCTTATATCTTGCTCCAGACTTACTGTGTTGTTCACAGCCTAGTGCTAGAACATTCCCTTATGATATCATTTCTCTCCTACGAGAAATGACCAGCTTGTTCTCTCTCAGTCTATCAGTCTCCTGCTGATTCCATTATCTCTATTCCATCGAGTTCTAGTTTGGTCCAGTATACCCACACATGCATTACACTAAACACCTCACAGTTTAGTTCCACAGTCACGTGCATATTCTATAACGCGACCTAAAGCATATACCATGATAGGTTACATGGATAACACAACAATCACGCCTTGAACCACACTCACACCAACATCATATTAGATGGCAATCAAGGATACAAAGCATGGAAAGAGGTGGAGAGAAGCTATTGATATTGAGCTTCAACAACTCATTGCAAATGGTACATGGCAAGAAGATGTCCCTCCAGAAAATGTCAATCTAATCACATCCAAATATGTCTTCTCTCTTAAATTTAACGCTGATGGAACTTTGGAAAGATTTAAGGCACGATTGGTTGCTAGAGGGTTTAGTCAACAATATGGTATCAACTATACGGAGACATCTACACCAACCGTTCGAATGGCAACTTTCCGTACCTCCCTTGCCCTGAATGCTTGTGAAGATTTAGAATGTTATCATTATGACATTAAAAATACCTTCACAGAGTCTGAACTTAATGAAGAAATTTGGATGAAAATTCCAAACAGTATTGAAAGAACAAAACCAGGAACTGCGCTTCGTCTCAAGAGAAGTCTTTATGGCTTGGAGCAAGCTGTTCGTGACTGGAATCGTTTAATTAAGACTGAGTTACTAGCTTGGGGATTCAATCAAAGCATGGCAGACCCTTATCTTTTTATACATGTGCAGCAAAATATTCGACTACTTGTTTATGTTGATGACTTGGCAGCTGCTGCGCCAAACACAGTGGAATTTGACTGGTTTTTTGGACAAATTAGTGCACGCTTCAACGCCAAGAACCTGGGGGAGCTTAAAAAGATTCTCGGAGTGCGTGTGACACGTCATTGAGCCGCAAGATCCATAGAGCTTGATCAAGAACTATATCTAGATAAAATCCTTACTAAATTTGGATTCCCTGTTCCAGCTCACCAACAAATAGAAATCCCCATGGAAAACTACAAGGAATTACGAGAAGCAATAGCTGACAATAAGAAAATCAATGCCACCTGGTATCGAGAAGTTATTGGATCCTTGATGTATGCAATGGTCTATACACGTCCTGATATTGCGTTTGCACTGTGTAGATTAAGCCAATATATGCAAGACCCAGCTGAACACCATGGCAGAGCGGTTAAGAGACTTTTGCGCTACCTTCGGTATACAATCAAAGCCAGAATTAGATTTGGACCGTCAGGTGGATTAGTGACTTACTCTGATGCCAATTGGGCAAATGATAAATTGGATAGAAAAAGTATTACTGCATGTATAGGTTTGATCGGAGGAGGTCCTATTTTCTGGGGGAGTAAGAAACAAACAGCTGTAGCTACAGCAACAGTTGAAGCTGAATATATTGCCTCAACATACAATGCTAAGCAAGGTCAATGGATAGCTCAAATACTTCGAGATATGGAATTTAGAGGTTATGTTTCTAAAAATCACCAAACAGTGGAAACTTGCGGGGATAACCATGGGGCAATTGCGCTCACAAAGAATCCTCACCTCACTGAGCGCTCGAAGCACATCAATATGTCATATCACTTTGTAAGAGACTTATTTGAAAAACAAAAATTAAACGTAAGCTATGTTCCAACAAAAGACATGGCTGCAAATGGCTTCTCCAAACCACTACCTAGACAACAATTCAATAAATGGAAACAACAAATTGGGATGATACCAGTGGGGCAATCATGAAGAGCCTAATCACCAAAATCTGTGGTAAATAAGCTAAGTATTTGTCGGTATAACAGCGGCTTGGAGATTTAATGTGCTAGCACAAATGTTCTGGTAACAGATTGTTCTTGTAGAAAATGTCTATGTATATTCTATCTAACAAACACGTAAGGAAAATGCTATCTGAACCTGTCTACAAGTTGGCCTTAGAAATTAGGTTTACACATGATAAAATCCCTCATAGTTGTCATTTATTCCAACACTGACAACTCTTCTTTTGTGTAGTACTAGTTTCGGTGGTCAACCTGAAAAATAGATGTTAGACTCCTATACTCCGTACTTGTACGCCGGAACATCCATGCTTCTCTCTACCCACCCTTGTAACCTACATTCCAGCTCATTTGTTTCGACAAGTCTTCGTAATGCACCGACTGGATTAGCCTTTGTCATGGCATCTGCGGGATTGTCTTTTCTGTTGATCCAGCGGATTTCTGCTAGTACCCTACCCTCAAATGACTCGCGGATGGCCATGATGTCAATCATGAGCCGTTTCTCCTTGGTGGTGCCGAGTTTAACTAAGCATTCATATAAGCTCAAACTATCAGTGCAAATAATGATGGGCACAATTGGTAGACCGAGCTCAGTAGTGATTTGGTTAAGAGCATTGCAGAGCGGTATTGTTATATCAACGCCCTGAGTCATAGAATAAAGCTCTGAGGCTAGCACTGCACGAGTTACCCACTTACATTTTGTTGAGCTCCAGTGAATAATGTTGCCACGGAATTTAAATGCAAATTCATCTCAAATTTCGTTGCCAATTGCTATAACAAATCCGATCTGTGATGTCAAGTCCTTGTTATTGGCAAGAGAATCATCTACCCAAGCGTAGAGCCCGAGGCCGTTCGTCATTTTTAGGTCAACATATCTCAACCCTGAATCTGGGTTTTCTTGTTGGATTTGGAGGGCAACACACAGTTCCTTTACCTCTTCTATTCCCGGATTCTGATGCTGTGCGACTCTTGACAGTAAGAAAGAAACAAGTGGCTGGCAGTTTGAGGCAATCCATGCACCAAGTGATTGCATTTTTCTATATTTTGCAAAACAATTGGGATCTTTGGGATCAATAAGCGTGATCTTTTTCCCTTGTCCACGAGACTGTACGTATAGGGCTCCGTCTTTGATCAAGATTGTAAGACCATTGAAATAAAGCAGATTATCTTCGCTAAGAGTGTCAATTGGCTTAGCTTTAATGTTGGATTCTTTGAGCTTAGCATCTTCAAGAGTGACAAATTTATCAGTTCCCAAGTAGAGTGTGTCGTCAACCTGTAGGGCTGTGGCACCGAAGATCGAGGGTCTGTTGGTAGTTATGAGTAAACATGGGTCATAACAAGAAGGTTTCATACTAAGCATCTCTCTTAGATGCTTAGTCCAGGTCCCAAACCAGTGATTACCACTTTCTGAAATTCCATACAGAGGTTTTAGGATCTTCATCACAGTTTTCTCTTGCAGATTCATTGTCTTGATGATTTCCGGAGATGGCCAGCAGAAGAGTTCCCTTAACAGTGGTGTCTTAGATTGTATGTATGCCTGTTGAATGTCTCGCAGTATCAACTTAAATCCGTTGTGCTTAATCATAAAAGGAGTAATTGAAAGTAGTGACCTAACACTTGCTCGCTGTACTGTTGGTAAATGCATCAATAACATCTCCTTGTCTGGGTCGTTAAAGGCTTGCACAAACAGTCTTGACTTTTTGTATGGTGCCAGAGTGTCTTTTCCTTTAACAACCTTAACAATTCTTGACTTAAATATCCGACTTCCCACCAAACTCTTATTCCAAGGTTGAAATTCAAAGACGCCTTGATCAAGAAGACCTTTTATTTCTTTCTTCGTCGATTCTTCAAATGGTTCACCAGGGGAGGTAATTAATCCTTTAGCGCGAAAATAGGCTGATAAACGGATCTCTTCTTCTTCCTGAAGTGAAAGGAATATGTGGGACTTCTTGAGATTGTCATTTACACTCGAGTTAAACTGATGTCTGCCTTCGAATCTTCCTTTCCGGCTACTTCTACGAAGTGGAAGTACCGTGGATTGTGTTCCCCGTGCGACCTGTTGGGGTTCAGAATTATTGATGCTCGGCGTATTAGGATTCTGATTATTCTGGATGCAACTGCTTTCATCATACCATTTAGAAACTACTGTGGAACGGAAATTGACGTTTTCTTCATTTATGCGAACAGTAACTATCTCCTGATTCTTATCAATCAACATCCAAGGACCTGTCCATTCTCCTCTCTTATTCTTGGCTTCACGCCAAACTCTCACAAGACCACCTATAGGAACTTCTTCAAGATGCGCATTATTCGGGCCATTTCTCATGTGAGCAGCTTGATCTACCAACTGACTTGCCTTATATCTGCGGAGTTCTTTCATGGCTAGTCTTAGGCTCTCTGCTTTTTGAATTGCGGCTGGTGATGGTGGGTCATTCCAGGTTAGTCGGGGGTAGGCTCCAAGTGCACAAAGAGTAGGTATGAGCCCGTCTGGCCCAGCTGTATTGTTACAAGCCTTGACTGCCATTTTTAAAATTGTATGGCAACTAAGACCCTGCCCTGAGAACTGCGTTTTGAAAATGGTATAAGCGCGACAAAGTGGCTTGTGTGCTCTTCCAATCTTGCCAACAGAGTTGTGTGCTTCAATTGGGACTTCTGTAATCTCAATTTTTGATTCTAATGGGTTTCTTCGGAATCCTGAAGACGCAAAATTCTTTCCAGCATCATGAATAATATGCTCTGGCGGTCCAATGTAAACATCTATCCAGCATCGCCGAATAGCGTTCCAAGCTTCCTCAGCTGCTTCTTTATTGGTTCCTGTGAGCCATTCAGCTGCTGTAAAAGCGGTAGCAGCATCAATTACATGCATACACGGACCATCCTCCAAGTAGATGATGTCAACATACATTGTATGATTGAATTTGTTGTCTTTTCTTAGCGCAAATTTAAATCGGAGGGGCCTGTTTGCGTCTAATTGACAATCTCGACAAAACTTGGTTAGGCAATGGATTGTTTGAAATTCGGCATTGTGACCTGCTCTTTGTAGTACTTTCCACATCCTTGTAGCGGAGGGGTGTCCCCATCGACAATGAATGGTTCGTAACTCCTGCTCGGTTAGTAGACACATTGGAGGTTCATTGTTCTCGTATACAAAGAGAGTTTCGAAGTATCCCAAAGTCATCCAAAGATGGCCGTACTTTTCAAAGAGATGCGCAACAGTCTTTCCATGCTTAAGCATCTTGTTATTTACAACATCCGGCGTTGCTCCAAAACGTTTCATGTCGCTTAGCCCAAGAAGAAAAGGAATATTACAAGGTAAAAGATGAAATGAAATCTGGCAAATAGGTGTATTAAGGACAACTGCGCCGATCGATGAGAATATGCCTGCACCGATTCCAGATATGTTGACTTTGCCAGCTTGTGTCCTGTCGAGCTTTAGATCACCACAAAGTTGTTGGAGTCCTCTAAATTGGCCAAGTCCAACTGTAGACCTCCCTGCAGCGCCAGTGTCAACAAGTAATCCGTGAAAAACACAGTCATTGTATCTGTCCGTGGTTAAGTTTCCTAAAGCATAGGTTGATTCAAAAGATTTGATTTCGTTACTAGGAATTTTTTGTAAATCAAAAACGGTGGCATTGGAAACAGATAAATCAGATATCTCGGAATTTGCTAGAATTATTTGTATTTTTGGTTGATCTAAGATATTTAATCTAGGCGCCGTAAATGAGTGTAAAATAGCTTGGTCAATCAAATAGGCTACAGCGTTCTCACCACCAATTTCTTCAACAAGGTTTCCGGATTGAAGAATTTTGTCATCAGAGTCGTGATCTGGCCCGGTCTCTAAATGGGATTCAAAATCCGTCAAAAATATGTCAAGGCTATCTTCCGGCCGTTCTCCTTCAACTTCGATTACGAATTGCCTAATCTCTGTGTCTGGCTTCATAGGGTACTGTTGCTTAATTCGGACAAATACTTTCTGCCTTTCTTCTTTTGAATGATTGGTTGACCAGCAGTTTGTTTTGTGACAAATTGGGCATTTCTTAACCCATGTGCTTGACTGTTTGGGGCCAGCTTTGTTGCTGTTTGAATCATTGGTTCCTCGGGTCAATTGTCCACTACCTCTATTTTTGCCTCTTTGCCTGCCGAAGTCTAGTGCGGTGTTATAGTGGCGGTCAGCCATGTGGATGCCATTTGAATTTTTATGGTCAGGGTAGTTCACTTGTTGGTGATATTGAGACGATGGGTTTGACAGAGATTTCTGATCTAGAGCACCGTACATGTTGTTTAAGACACCTTCGAAAGTCTCTGCAGGTCGATATAGGGCGAACTCAAGTTCTGTAATCCCAGAGCATGCCACTACGAGGCGGTTGCGCAATGCTCTATCGCCTTGGTGATCTACCAAACCTCTTTGGATTCTGCGAAACTCCATTTCTAATCATTTAAGATTGTTTTTGACTCCATCTTTGGGGTACGCGGCGATTCTTGTAGGTAAACTTAGATTTAACCAACTAATCTCCTGTCTATAGCGCCGTTGATCGGTCTCATAATGAGTCTTCATTGCTCAACAGCGATCTTCAAATGTCATCTCGTCATGATCAAGTGTCTTGTCAAGGTAGATACCTCTTGCAGCGCCAGTAAACATATGAGAGAGTGCCTCTTTCATGTAACGGCCCTCAACACATGCATCTTTACAATTATTGCGAAAAACCTTTAGCTTATAATCAAAGCTGTCCAGTCCATCTGCATATTTGTCAGATTCTTTGTAGAGTCTTGCAAGTGATTCAAGTTGTTTATTTTTAGGTTGGTGATGATCTTCCCCTGGTTCATCTCTGATTGGTCGAAAAAATGAACCCTTTTGCCCTTCTATCTCATCAATTCCTTCCTCCTCTGTAGATTTATCTTTTCCTTGTTCCTGTTCTTTATCCTTCCAATAATATTTCTTTTTGTTGGCTCCATATATCCTGTCGACTTCTTTTCCTTTCTTTGTTTTGTATTTTATATCCTCCTCCTCCTTGGCTTTCTCATCATCTTTCTGCATGTTCAGTCCATGATATGCAGGATCTCGGGGGTTGAATGCACTGTTGATTTCCATTCTAATCCTTCCATTACTGTAAAGGGCCCAGCTGTAAAATTCTTCATCCGTCCATTCATGGTACACCTGAGCAGAGAGTGCTTCCATTAACTGGCCTGAGACATCCCCATGACTGCCTGGTTGCGTGGGTGTCATATATACTCCATTTGAGACGAGATGGTTACGAAAATCTCGTCTTTGGTTTGCAGTGGCTTTGTCAAAGTGAATCTTTTTCCAATTCTCGACTTCTTCCTTTAGGACTTCCCAGAGGTTTTCATCTCGGAATCTAAATTGTCGCCATTCTGCAATCATTCTTATTAGAAATCGATCTATCTCCTCCTGGGTTGCTGTTGAGAGATCTTGGATGACTGGGCGTGGGTTTGACATTGTTGTTTGCTCCTGAAAAACGGGTAAAGTAACTCCAGGTTGCGGGAACAAAGGTGGTGGTTGTGTGACAGACGCTTGATTTAAACGGCTCTAGGAGTCCAGGTAAATCTGGGGGGTTGACACGTTTCCAACTAAGGACGACGTTCCTTTGATGAATACTTCGCGAATCTGTGAACCGTTGATATAGGCTCACTGATCAGTGTCGGTATAACAGCGGCTTGGAGATTTAATGTGCTAGCACAAATGTTCTGGTAACAGATTGTTCTTGTAGAAAATGTCTATGTATATTCTATCTAACAAACACGTAAGGAAAATGCTATCTGAACCTGTCTACAAGTTGGCCTTAGAAAGTAGGTTTACACATGATAAAATCCCTCATAGTTGTCATTTATTCCAACAGTATTCAAATCAGAGAGGTGTTTCGGATCGCAACAATGTTTGGACAATGGGGGAGTGTTGAATTAAAAGATTGTTGGTCAAACAAAATCATTCCTGTACCTGAACATAATGGAGTTATGGTTGTATTTATTACTTACTTAGCAGTATAGAGGGTAAGGCGTTTGGAGATCTTAGATACCCTGTACCAGCAGTTCTGTATTAGCGCAAAGAAGAGGCTGGCAGACACATATTAATAGGAGTATGGGCGCAGCATTGAAGGATGCTGCAATTGCAAGAATCATACACAATAGATAAACTCAATACTTTATCAATTCTACTTCCAGTACTTATGTACCACTTGTATACAAGAATCTTATTCTAAGAGCTATCATTAAATCCAGAAAGCTCTGAGAGCGACATCCAATGAGGAAGAAATGTTGGAAATATTGCGCAATGAAATGGGCGCAATATTCATGGAACGAAAGTAGAAGTTGACTAAAAGAGTGTCATGTTCGGATCACAGCTAATAGTGTGGGAAGTGTGCACTACAAGTACAAGTGTAAGCAACACAGAGCCTAAGCCACAGCATAAACAAGAGTGGCGCTATCTCGGCATAGAAAACCCCCAATAACCTCCTTGCGCCCACGCCATACAGCCGCTCATATGTCCAATAGGTAGCCTGAAGCGCTACCATATTACCTACTCCAACCTCTTAAATACACACGAGGTTGTGTCGGGAACCTAGACGAAATGGAGGGCCCATACGTCCACAACACTCCGTGTCTCCATTTCCAACATGTTTCCGTTGCTGCTAGGTATTCTGCTTCCGTGGTTGAAAGTACAACCTCTCTTTATAAGTGTGACTTCCAGCAGATGGGGCCTGATGCAAGCCTAATCAACATTCCAGATGTTGAGCGGCTTCTAGATGGGTCGGCTGCAAAGTCTGCGTCTGTGTATGCTTCGAGAATTGCTTGCTGATTACCTCGGGTGAATTCGATGCCCTGGTCTGGATTATTTGCAATATATCGGAGTACCTGACGTGCAGCTTGCATGAGTTCCCGTGATGGGTTGGTCAGGAATCATGCAAGGTGATTGCCTGCAAATGAGATGTCAGGTCTGGTGTTGTTAGAAAGGTGCTGCAGTCCTCCTATGAGGGAGTTATATTCTGTCATTTCATGCGACATGCAATTCTCCTTATTTGCCACGATCATGCGCTTCATTGGCATGCCTGCTTTCTTGTAATCCGAAAGATTGTGTCTATCAAGAAGTGTTCGTGCACAGTGTCCTTGTGTCAGAGCAGCATGTAGACAGCAGGGTAGAGACAAGGGCCAAAGAGGTGGTGTTCAGGGTAAAGGGTGCCATTCTACATCATGCATGAGATAGGTGCATAACCACTCGGCCAAAATGCCAGACTAGAATCATAGAACACTAGATACTGGCTATCTCCACATAAATAGATTATACAGAAGGCAATTCTGACAGTCTCGAGAGACTAGTTGCACGGCAAATGGCTTACACCGCCATTTCGTACAAGGCCGTGCCGCAGCAGCTTTTTAGAGCACTCTCTGGCAGATCTGCTAATGACCTCGTCTCATGCATCATCCACAATATGGAACATGTAATGAAGAGGCAGAAGAAAGCAGTCCTTGTCACTCTGGACGTACAGGGGGCATTTGAAGTTGTACTACACAGACGGCTGCTGCAAAGGATGAACAAAGTTGGGTGGCCGAAATTAGCCATCACTTGGATAAAGTCTTTCCTGCAAGAACGATCGGCCCGTGTCAGACACGAGGACGGAGTAACAGACCCAATTCACCTAGAATGCGGGCTGCCTTAAGAATCGCCTTTATCCCAAATTCTCTTCCTCCTCTACATGGCCGAAGCCGAGGGGGTCAGTAGTTGGAGATTTGGCTATGCAGATGATGTTGCTATTGTCGGCATAGTTTCGACTCCAAATGAAGCCGCAGCAGCTGTCCAGCGAGAAGTCGATGCAGTCCTAGAGTGGGCTGCTGATAACGCTGTCTCTTTTGACCCAGATAACGCCGAAGCAGTCTATTTCCTCGGCCCTAGATCCACGGGATACGACCTTCCAACAATAAGGGTAGGTTCTCGCAATGTTCAGGCATCTGACAACATCCGATGGCTCGGAGTTTACTTGAACAGCGGCTTGACTATCGAAAGCCACGTCGCCAAGTGTTGGAAATACAGTTTCCTGCTTTTCTTTCTATCGTCCAATGTGGTTGCATGCATCTTGCCTAAACTATATTTCTGAGTTCGGGCAGGATCCCACACTTCTGATCCAATCGGACTCAACGTTAGAGTCTGCTTGAATCCCATTCTTCCCGAACAAATCCAGTCATTGGTTTGTTCGTACTTCTATTGCGTGACCCAGTATTCTCAGTCAGTGGATAACTATTTTCTGGTACGGGGTCCCACTTATTTCTGCAGTCGAGTCGGTTCCGGGTAACCTCTATTTCTTATAATTCCACTGTATATATCATAATACCTGTAGTCTATTAGTAAATTAAGCAAACTGAACTTCTCCGTTCTCAGGCAATTCTTACTCCGAAGTCTTCTCTATACTCTAACAGATTATGAGACCAAGTTAGCTCAAATTTGGACTTAAATACTTCTCTCTTCGCCTGGCTGCTTCAACTTCTACAACTTTCTCTTCCTCACACTCACCTCTACTACATCTTCTCAACCTTCTACAACCAAAATGGCATTTAACCAGATCATCAAATCGGTTCGTTCTCTCCCTACTTTGTACAAGTCTACCTACACCCGTTGGGCTAGTCTATTTCGAATGATTCTCGTACAATTTAATGCGGAGTCTGTTATATGCGACCCTTCCGAAGCCGTCGCCGATACTAAGAAAGGCGAAAATAAAGATGTGGACTTGGACGAAATTGACCATTGTGTCAGATTTGCTCTTCTTTCGGCCGTACCAGATGATACTTACCATTTGGTTGAAAATAAAAATACTTCCAGAGAAATGTGGATTGCTCTTGAGGATTTCTTCAAACCTGAGTGTGAGGTTACTCCTACTTCCTTGCTCAAGGATTTCTTTCGATTCACTATGCCTGATGGTACTAGTGTGGATCAATTTTCTGAAGAGCTTACAAAACGTCAACGTAGAATTGCTGCTGCAGATCCTTCTTTCTTCCCCTCTGATACTCATATGAGGGATTACTTACTTGACTACTTTGATTTTTGTAGCAATGGTCAATTCTCTGGATCAGTCACTTCTTTGAGACTATACAAGTCCTGCACGTTTTCTCAGGCAGTCAACTCTCTGAGGTCGACAGAAACTACGATAAATAGTCGACAGTCTGGTCCATCTGCAGTATTCTTAACTAGTTCTACGAAACAAAATTCTCACCCTGATCCTAATTCTTCCTCGTCCAATTCTTCTAATAAGGACAAAATCTGTGCGCATTGTGACCGTAAGGGCCATACTAGAGAAACTTGTTTCCTCTGGATTTCTACTCCTGACGGCACAAAGTGAGCCGCCAAGCATCCAGAGAAAGCCGCTATAGTGCGAGCTATGTTCCAAAGATTCGGGAATAACGGCTCTTCCAAGGATAAAAAGG